GTATGGTTTATGTTATATATATATGTGTGTGTGTGGTATGTGTGTTGTGTGTGTGTGTGTGTGTTGTGTGTGTGTGTGTGTGGTGTGTGTGTGTGTGTGTGTGTGTGTGTGTGTGTGTGTGTGTGTACTCCTCCTCCTCTCCTCTCTTCTCTCTCCTCATTCTCCCCCCCCCTCTCTCTACCTCTCTCTAACTCACTCACTCACTCACTCACCTCTCTCTCTCTCTCTCTCTCTCTCTCTCTCTCTCTCCTCTCTCTCTCTCTCTCTCTCTCTATCTCTCTCTCTATCTCTCTATCTATCTCTCATCTCTCTTCTCTCTCTCTCTCTCTCTCTATCTATCTATCTACTATCTATTATCTATCTATCTATCTCTCTATCTCTATCTCTCTCTCGCTCTCTCTCTCTCTCTTCTCTCCTCTCTCTCTCTCTCTCTCTCTCTCTTTCTCTCTCTACTTCCCTCACTCCACAAGCTTGCATCGTCAGATCCTCTCTCTTAATCCTTTTTACGTGTTTCCATTGGAATTATGGTTCCATTTTAGATCCGCCCGGGAGCTTCCCTCCGCCCACTTCCTCTTTGTCACACGCCCACTCATCCTGCTTTTTTTTGTTTTTGTTTTTTGTTTTTTCTATTAGTCTTATCTCGAGGGGAGTTCCAGATACCCGAGAGTACCAAAAGTTCGGTCGTTCTCTATCTACCCTACATCTTTTTCTTTGTTTAACGTTAACTTTTCGGTTTGAAATTGAAAATAATAATAATAATAATAATTCTCTCATTTTCGTGGTATTTTCCACGTGTGAGTAAAATGGATTTCTGACACATTATGATCATAAACAAAAAGATGAACATCAATGATAACAGTGATTATAGTAATAATAACAATACTCATCATCATCACCACCACCTCCACCACCCTCAAAACCACCACCATTTCCACCACCACCATCAACATAACAACAACAACAACCGCGGCGATAACAACAAAAATAAAGTAGCCTTCACACCGCCTTCCTTTCCAGTGGCTCTTCGTCATGACGGCGGCGCTTCTGTACAACTGGGTGATGATCGTGGGTCGCGCCGTCTTCTGGGAGTTACACAACCTCAGCCCGGCTCTCTGGCTCAGCCTTGACTATATCTGTGACGGAGTCTATGTTATAGATATGGTTATTCGGGCCCACGAAGGTAAGAGGAGATAAGGAGAAGGGGAAGAAGGGGAGGGACATATAGGAAGAGTGGGAGGGGGTGTAGAGAGAAGGGAAGTTTAGAGGGGGAGGGAGGGCAGAGTAGAGGGAACGGAAGAAGAGGTGGGAAGTTTAGAAAGGAGAGGAGTGTAGAGGGATGAGAAGGAGGAGGGGAAGTTTAGAGGGAGAGGGAGAGAGTATGGAAGGATGAGAAGGAGGGGAAGGAAGTTAGAGGGAGAGGGAGGAGAAGAAGGGGAGGTAAGTTCTGAAGGAGAGGGAGTGAGTGTAAAAGAAGTGGAGGGAAGTTTAGAGGAAGAGGACGGCAGCGTGGAGGGAAGGGAGGGAAGTTTAAAAAAGGAAGAAAGGTAAAGATAAAAAAACGTAGGGAAAAAAGGGAAAGGTAACAAAGGGAGGGAAAGTGAGATGGGAAGGACAGGGAGTGAGATGAGAGGAAGGGAAAAGAAAGGGAGGAAATGAAATCAAGGAAGATCAAAGGGAGAAGAGATTACAATACAGGCAATATCGGGAAAGGGGAGATAAGGAGAGGGAAGAAAGGAGGGAGAGGCCATGAATGTAGAAGGTAAATGTATAGACTAATGCATGGATATGTGGGTACGTGTAAGGCCGTAATCTATTTACTTTCAATGTATTTTCGTGTAGATTAATCCTGTTAATATCTAAGTAAAAGTTATATATAAATCAGGAGTTTCTGTTCAAAGCGTATCTTCAAACACGTTCATATGCGAGCCCAAATATGCGTATGTATCCATGTCAGTGCACACGTGTTCTCTTTCGTACCACAGTACATATCACAGTTAGCATCACACCATATATCACAGTACATATTACGATACATATCAGTTCGTATCACAGCAGCTACCATATTAGGAATCCCACGTATCACAGCATGTATCCCAGCCCTTACGCCCCTCGCCTCCCGCAGGATATCTCGAACAAGGCTTGATGGTCAAGGATCCGAGCAAGTTACGCAAGAACTACATCAAGTCGTGGGGATTCAAGCTTGACCTGATCTCCATCTTGCCCACTGACCTCGTCTATCTCCTCACCGGCACTAACTGTGATAACTACGTCCCTGGGCCTGTCCTTGTGAGGGTTAATAGGCTTCTGCGGTAAGTGTTATTAGAGGAGAAAACAGTTTAGATTTATAGAAGTACTTTATGAGCTTTTTGGTTTTAGGATTGTCGTTACTGCATATCCCCTTTGTGTTGTTATGATTCATAATGTAAAAAAAATAGCCCATGGCAATTATGCAATAGCTATTGTCGTTTTCATACGCTGTCTAATTCATATTATTTTCTGA